AATGAACTTAGTGGCTCAGTTGAATCTGGACCGATTTAACGATCACGGATGCCCGATAGGGTTTGAATTTTTATTTTTATTTTTACAAATCCAAATAACTTAAAATTTTAGACGTGTGTTGATAAAACATAAGTGAATATTCGAAAAATATTAAAATACCCCCATAAATTTTTGAGGGTATTTTGATCATTTTTAATTTTGCAGATTATTTTTTATATATTTTTATCAGGTGCAGATTGATGAGAAGAACATTCACTTAAAATTTCAAGTGATTTGAATTTGTAGAAAAAAAATTAAAATTCAAACACTCTCGACCTTCTAATTGGACCAGATTCAATCTAAACCATTGTGTTTATACTATTCTGTGAGCTAGTGGGCTTATCCTAGCATTTATATATATATATATATATATATATATATCGTTGAAAGGAGGAATAATGAAAGGAAGGCGCATGACGGATAAATTTTAATTGGGTGTAGCCAAAAAGGCAAAAGGGAAAAAAACAAAATGGCAACTTATACATCCCTTATTATATCACTAGCTTAGAATGAATGGATAGGCAAGTTTTTATCACTAAGAATTTTGATTGACTGAAATCCACTTTGAATTTATGCTTTAAATTAGTTATATAGATAGATGGAATAATGGGGTCCGTCAAATTACGAGTAAAAAATAATCTAGATTTGGAGAGATCAGAGTCATTTAAGAATCGCTGAGAAATTCTGATTAAGATCGCACAAAATCCTATAAAAAAACGACCCAGTTTCTATACGGCCAAGCCCGCATATATAGAAATACTGGCCTATTAATAAATCTATTTTGAGATGGATATTTGGATTTAATTTTTATTTAGAGATCATGAATATGAAAAATAAAAAAAATTTAAAAACTAAAAATAATAATTCTAGTAAGAAAACATTTGAACCGTTAGTTTCCATTGGTTTTTAGATGGAACACGTGCTTGCATCCATTTTTAAGATGGATGCTTTATACTTTTTGGACCGCTTATATAGTCACGCAGTCCAGGCCGCATGAACCAATTTTCCATCAAAAAATCCCAAAACTAAACATAAATCAAATTAACTAAATATTAAAAAATAAGAGAAAAGAAAAACTTATCTAGCCAGGCCGATTGGCCCAGCACACCCGAAGACTCAGAGTTGGTGCCCGTATCAAGACAATGGATGGTTTACACCATTGCCTTTTATTTTCTAATTGAACATGATTGAAATTAATCTTTTAAGATGATTGAAATTGACTAAAGCGCTCCTAGATTTCCAGGGTTTAAAGACTTACGCTTTGAATAAAGGTTTAGGGTTTATGATTTCCTAGACTAAGGTTTTCTAGAATTGGGGTTTAGAAAACTAGAATTTGGGCTCTCTAAAGGATTAGGTAAAAATATGGTTTCTAAGAGAAGCTTTTTTTCTTGAATGTCTTGGATTAGACACCTTTTATAGGCATCAGAAGTTAGTTTCAATGTGTTTTTGAAGTTTATTCGATGTATTTATCTCAAAATTGCCATCAAATCTGATCAAAGTCGGTGGACGTCGCACTCTGGTTGTTTTGGGTCATTTTTAGGTCAGATGCTGTTACATGCGGCAGTTTCAGGGTTTTTATTATTATTATTATTTTTTTTTATTTTTAATTTTTTTTTGTGCTTAAAAGGCTTCACCCTATAGTGTTTGAAATTGGACTGGACCTAAGTGGAATTTCTACCAAATAGATTTGTCCGGGCTATAACTTTCAATTCGTAAGTCAAATTTAGGTGATTTTTGAACTATTGGAAATATCTTGACCTCTTTTTCAATTTAGAATCAAATTTGGCCCAATTTGGAATATTTTTGAAAGGTCTAGAGGGCTAGGAATTTTGGGTATCAGTTTCATGTTTTGGGTTGTTCGATTGGTGTATGTTCATAAGGCTCATGGCCATCTAAGATTACTATTTTCATGCTTGGATAAGTCTAAAGTTTCGGTGAATAAGTCTAAAGTTTCGGCTTTCTATATGAAAGTATGACTAGGGTCTACTAAGTCATTGTGGTCCCTAGGGTTCAAGACCTAAGGAAAGATTAATCAATTTCAAAATCGGGTATCTACATTGTATATATTGAGACCATTTACCTAAGGTAACATTTAGTTATTACCATCTTATGTGAAATTTGTTAGCTTTGATGTGCCACAAAGTTTGAAAAAAATTCTTTTGAACTTTGAGCTTAATGGAATAAATGCAACCACCCAATTTCACATTCAATGGGTTAAGATTAATTGTGGTCACCTTATGCGTTCTTATAACTTTGGAATTATTTTAGAAGGTGATGCTACCATCAAAACTGAGAACTCTACCATTGAGCTTTACAATGAAACGGTGGTTATTTTTAAAGGGTAAGGTTTATATAACATGCCCACCTTATATTGTACAAGTAAGGTGTCCCTCTAAATTTTACTAGAATGGTGCACCTCTAAATTTTACTAGAAGATATAGTTCTTGTTGGGTTTATGTGGCCTTTAAAGGCTTTATGAGTGCTTGTAAACTGAAATGACATGGTGGAACATGAATTCAGTGGGAGTGTGGTCCCTCGTGGACCATACTAAGTAAACGATGGTTTGCTGATACCAATATGTGCTTAACGATCTAGGCCAGTTGGTTAGAAAAAACCCATGTTATCTAGGCATGAAGAATAAACTGATGATTTATGGGTTAGCTCTTGATGAGGTCGGAGAACATGCTAAGAATGAGTGAGTCGAGGGACTATGTGACCCTTGTGTGTGATGGTAGCCTACTGAGACGGGGGCCAAAACCTCATCCATGTTCTATCACACGACATGCATATTGATAGATCGTTCGAGAAAGCTAGATATCCACATTTGGGTGAAGCGTATGCATGTACGAGAGATACCCCTATGCGTCATAGAGCTGTAGTCGCATCAGGTCGTGGTGACCTTGAATCGTCTCTAGGGGAGGACCTATAATCCACAGACTGGGATTGCGACCCCTTGATTCATCGACCTGACTTTGGTGACCCGTTAATGAGCCCCTGCTTGGACTGTGGGTCATGGGAAACACTGGATCGGTTTGATAAAGCTAGTGAGGTTTGTAGTCCACAGTTGAAGGTGGAGTACCCCGTTATTACAGATTGCATTCCTAAAAACATATGGATCTTTTTCCCATCATATCAATTTAATTGTATTCATTTTATTATTGAAATGATTGTAGTTTTATTATTTGAATTTTTATGAATCTCTCAATATTTTATTTGTGATTTTTGGACTTATTAAAATACAGTTATTTTTCTTACAAAGTTATAAAAATTCAAATACATATTTTAAATTGTTTTATTCAATTTGAAAAATATTTTTTTTATAAAATTCCATGGGGGCTCATAATGCACATGGGCCCACCATGTGGCATGTGGGTGGGGCCCCACATGTGCCACAAAATGGTGGCACGCCCCACCCTCTTTGGATTCACTTGGTCAAATCTTGGAAGGGATATGTTGACCATGGCTTTATCTATTTTGTAGCAAGTTTGTTTTAAAGAGATATGGTCAATTTGAATTGATATGGATCTTATCTTATTTATATTTGGTAGCAATTTGACATATCCTTATGGAATATGTGACATGGATCGTGCAATTTTATAGAATGCATGATATTTATTTTAT